CAACCCCCTGCTCCCAGCAGCCCTCAGTCAGAGCAAGAAGTGGCCAGGTAAGCTGAAGAGCTCCCCCCCCCCAGCACAGTCCAGTGGCATTTTTAAGACCAAGTTTTATTCAGGCACAAGCTCTCCCTCCTCTGTGAGGACAGATCTGCGCGTTCCCCCCCCCCCAATAGCTAGCAATCCAAAACAGTCCAGTGGAGCCTGAGCGGTGGGTGTTGCCTGCTGACACACTTCCGGTGATGTCAGGGGTGTGTGGCCTATCCACATAAGTTATGCCAATGAGGTATGCTAATGAGCTCCTGCACCTCTTTTTCTACGAAATGACCCCTGCATAAAGGTTAACTGGAGGCAACTCCTTAAATGTAAATATATGTGTTGTTCACTAGCCAAGTGGGTTTCAAACTTTCCACTTTGGGGAAACATATTTCACATCTGCTAAAGAACCCCTGTCCAGGCTAGCTCTATCTGGCCAGATCTTAGAAGCTGTGCAGGGTCGGCCCTGGTTAGAGCTTGGACGGGTGACCACCAAGGAATTATAAGGTCACTACACAGAGGCGCACAGTGCCAAACCATCTTTGAACATCTCTTGCCTTGAAAACCCTGTGGGTTCCCTTTAGATTTTGGAGGAATTACTAACCCTGACATGCCCTGACCAAGGCTCCCTCTAAGCTGTGGAGTCCTGTGAGCAAGAATTCTACTTTGTGAGCTACCGGCATGAAAGTGGTGAGCAAGCGACTTGGCTGCTGCATAAATTGGTTTGCTCTGGAGCCAGCCTTCCTGAGCTAAGGCAAAAATGTGTGAGCCGGAGGCTGAAAAGCCGTGAGCTGACTCACACTCACTCATCTTAGAGGGAACCCTGTGCCCTGGCCTGGTTGGCCCAAGCTAGCCCAATCTTGCCTGATCTCGGAAGCTAAGCAAGGCCGGCATGGGTGAGTCCTCAGACGGGAGACCACCAAGGAAGCCCAGGGTTGCTACGCAGAGGCAGGCCATGGGAAACCACCTCTGTTTGTCTCTGCCCTGGCCTGAATGGGCCAGGCTAGCCTGATGTTGTCAGAGCTTGAAGCTAAGCCCTGGTTAGAGCTCAGATAGTAAGGAAGCCTGGAGCCACTATGCAGAGGCAGGCATTGGCAAGCTGCCACTGCTTGTCTCTTCCCTTGAAGACCCTATGAGGGGTTGCCATACGTTGGCTGCAACTTGACCACACTTTCCACCGCCACCTAGGAACCCCTGACTTTCTGCCACGGAACCAGGATGTATCAGTTTGCGTCGGAGCGGTGGGGCCTAGAGGGAAGTGTTTTTCTGGGGGGCGCGGCAGCCCTGTTTGCCCGGGACCCAAGCCGACCGTGGGGGGCTCCATCATTGCCTTATGTGAAATAGGGTCCCCCATTGCAGTCAATTGCAGGAGAAGACTGGTCACTGTGAGCTATGCACATTCCAGGGACGCTTTTCCACCACTGACCAATCTTCAAAGGAACCTCCAACTAGAACGCCATTTGGAAAACATGGCACCGGCCCTTTGCTATACAACTCCAGCCTACTGGATCTCAGGTAATGGGAGAACCTGTAATCAAAGCATAAGAGTGACATTCTGGCCGTCTTTCAGAGGGTAGCTCTGTTGGAATGCATTAGGGGAGTTAGACTTGAGTCCCGTAGCACCTTAGACACCAACAAGACTTTGGGGGTAGGAACTTTCCAGAGCCAAAGGGAGTTTTGACTATGAAAAACTTTAAGCCCCAAAATCTTGTTGGTCTCTTAGGGGCTACTGGACTCGAATCCAGCTTTTCCACCCTTATCTTTCTTCTCAGTTGAGTATGTGTTAAAGCCAGTTTGGTGTAGTAGTTAAGTGCGCGGACTCTAATCTGGGAAAACTGGGTTTGATTCCCCACTCCTCCACTTGCACCTACTGGATGACCTTGGGCAAGCCGTAGTTCTGTCAGAGCTGTTCTAGAAAAAGAGCCGTTTCTGTGAAGAGCTCTCTCAGCCCCACCAACCTCACAGGGTGCCTGTTGCGGGGAGGGGAAGGGAAAGGAGTTTGTCAGCCGCTCTGAGACTCCCTTCGGTAGTGAAGGGTGGGGGATAAATCCAATCTCTTCTTCTTCTTCTTCTTCTTCTTCTTCTTCTTCTTCTTCTTCTTCTTCTTCTTCTTCTTCTTCTTCTTCTTCAGTAAGAGCAGAGGTCATTTCGGGGGGGAACGGGGGGAACGCAGTTCCCCCGGGTGAGGTGCAGGGGGCGGAGCACATGACAAAGCCCCGCCCCCTGCTTCCGGCCGCCCCACTTCCAGCCCTCATTCAGCCAGGAGGAGGCAGGAGAAGAGGGAGGGTAAGTTGCTTCCTCCCCGCCTCTCCCCACCCCTGGCCTCCCCACTCCCGCTGGCCTTGCAGGTCCACCTCCGGGCCCCTGATGTCAGGGGGTGTGGTATATGCTAATGAGTTATGCTAATGAGTTTCCCTAGCTCTTTTTCTATGAAATGACCCCTGAGTAAGAGAAAGTCAAATTGATGGAAGAACAGAAACCTGCACTAGCTCAAGAGGAGAAGACAAGGGCAGCATACTGGGGTGGGGAGGGGGAACAATTATTTGTTTATTTTTATTCATTTAAAACATTTCTTCCTTATGTAGTTCAAAGCGGCTTACAATGTAGAGAAAATGCACAGAACAAAAGTACATAAAAACAAAAAACTCAAAATTTAGATTGGAAAGTCGGTTTATTTTCCAGTTTGGTGTAGTGGTTAAGTACACGGACTCTAATCTGGGAGAACCGGGTTTGATTCCCCACTCCTCCACTTGCACCTGCTGATGTGACCTTGGGTCAGTCACAAGCTCTGGCACAGCTGTCCTTGAAAAAGAGCAGTTTGTGTCAGAGTTCTCTCAGCCCCACCCACCTCACAGGGTGTCTGTTGTGGGGAGGGGAAGGGAGAGGAGATTGTAAGCCGCTCTGAGACACCTTTGGGTAGTGAAGGGCGGGGTATAAATCCCATCTCTTCTTCTTCTTCTTCTTCTTCTTCTTCTTCTTCTTCTTCTTCTTCTTCTTCTTCTTCTTCTTCTTCTTCTCTTTACCTCCTGATCTCTCAATGATGTGTGATGACAAAAGGCATTCTGTATTATGTCTTCATTATTGTTGTTGTTATGGATTGTCACGGTCAGATATTTACTTATTTATCATTTAAATTTATAGACCACCCTTCTCTGAGTACACAGAGCTCAGGGCGGTGAACAACAATAAAAAGGTTCATACATTAATTGGAAAATAATAATTAGAACAATTATATAAAAGTAGCTAAAGCATTCTAAGATGGCACTGAAACGTCAAAGTCCCAAAGTGTGTCACTGCCTCGCGGGAGACGTAGAGGGGAAGCAGAAGGGGGGGGAGGGTACCAGGGCGGATGATACCCGTCGCTGCCCTCAACCAAAAGCCTTGCAAGCCCCACGGAACTGCATTAGGTCCCACAGGGCGCGGGTGTTATTCGATCTAGAGAAGACCCTGGCTCTGGTCAAGGACAGCTGGATGCCTTTTGGGCTGGGGATTACCAGTGTGTTGTTCTCCGCAGAGCATAAAGCTCTTCAGGCGACATACCAGAGGAGGTGGTCCGGAAGATACGTGGGTCCCAGACCACTCAGGGCCCTAAAGGTCCATACCAAAACCTTGCACCTGACTTTGCACTCCACTGGGAGCCAGTGCAGATGATGGAACACCAGCTGAATATCTGTAAACTGTGAAGTTCAGGTCAGGACGTGCGCTGCCAAGGGTAGCCCAGTGTAGAGCAAGTTACCATAGTCCATTCTGGAGGTGATCATTGTGTAGATTACGGTGGCTACGTTGGCGGGCCAGTTGCCTCACGTGGCGCAGCTGGAAAAACACTGGGCCTCCACTGAGAAGGAGGCATCCGGAACAGCGTTCCCTCTCAGCTGAGTGAGTGTGAGCTAGCTCACAGCTTTTTTAGCCTCCGGCTCACAGATCTTTGCCTCAGCTCAGGAAGGAGGGCTCCGGAGCAAAACGTTTCATGCAGCAGCCGAATCGCTCGCTCACAACTTTCATGCCAGTAGCTCACAAAGTAGGATTTTTCTCCTCACAAGACTCCACAGCTTAGAGGGAGCAGTGATCCAGAACCACGCTCAGACTCCTGACTTTCAATGCCGGTATTAGGGGCACACCATCAAGAATAGGGAGTTGGCACCCCAACCCTGAATCCCTCCTACCCAGCCACAGAACCTTCATCTTAGTTGGGTTCAGTGTCTCATTTACCAGGTATTTGACTGGTAGAGGGTGTTCTGCAGTTCAGGATCTAGCCAATTCCTTGGGAACTGCAGATGTGTCTTCACAGGGTTCTTGCTGTCCCAAGCAACACTGGTAGTAGTAGCAGCAGTAGTTGTTGCTTTGAAGGTTGCCACAGATACTATAGAAGTCGAGGGGGGGGGGGGATGGACATTGTTGCTTAGTATTAAAATCATGTATTCCTGATGTGGGCATTTGTTAGTCAGCTTGCTGTAAAATGACACACTGCTGAATCTTTAAAGGGCTTCAGTTTGGGAAAGCAAAATGCGATTGGGCAAATTACTGAAATATTTAAAGTGCCGCCTGTTAAAGCTTTTACTTGGAAGGACGTCGTGTCAGAAGTGGTATGCGGAGAAAGCCGGCAATTGGCTTTCTGTCCTCATGCGAGTCCGTCAGCACGGGGCTCCGTCCCGATCGCTTCCCCTTTGTCGCCAGTACTAATAGAGCCTCCTGCATTTCTCCTTTTGGGGGTGGGGGGGGGGAGAAGGAAAACATCCATGCGCCTTAAGGTGTCGGAAAGATGAGTTTAACCAGAGTGGCTATTGATGAAAGGTAATGGTGGGCTTCTTTCCCCATCCCCTCAATTCCCTGAACTTAAAAATTAATCACATCTCTTTTTATTAGCTGCTCCAAAGTGGGTGTGTCAAGACATGTTACACGCCCCGCTTCTCCCCGCACGTAGCTCGCTATGGCTTCCTCTGATATTAACCTTGTTGTGTTTCCTTCCCCAGACATGACCCCTTATTAATACCGGGCAACGAACAAGTTGACAACATGGATTGCAGTGTGAAAAAATACGACTCCACGGGCATGTTCCATTGGTGTACATCCAAGGATATTGAAAAGGTTATTTTGGTGGGTATCTGAAAGAAACACCTCGCTGAGTCAAATCCCTTCCATTAAGGGTGGTACGCTCCCTCAGCGCCAATAGCCTTTCCTGGCCTCTTTCACCAGAGGGACGCACCTCCGTTAATGGAACAGATACACGGGATCCAACCGCCTGTGTTTAATGTGTTACGACCCTTTTGTTGATTATCTTGCTTATAACCAAGTAAAGTGATTAACAGGCCCAAGGGTGAGCAACGCATGGACTGTGGAGCCAATGGCGGCACTTTTGGAAGCGCCACAAATGGCTTTGTGTATGAATGACTGCCTTTCCCATGACTGTACTCTATAAGACTGATGCTCATTTTGCTATCAAGTTCTACCTCTCAGTGTTCACAGAGTCATCATTTACCAGGGGCTAGACCAGGGGAGGTCCCCTAGGTGGTTGCCATAGATGGCACAGTGCCTGCCACCACCTTTCTTTGATTTTTTTTTTAATGGGGGCTGGAGGGATGCTAGAAGAGGAGTATGTAGTGGGACTATTCTGCATTGAGCAGGGATTGGATTAATTTAATTTAATTTAATTTAATTTAACATTCGGTTTATATACCGCTCAGACCCGAAGGTCTCAGAGCGGTTTACAGGTATGGTGCAAGTGCAAGTTACTCCTATACTATGGCCACATATATTGCAGGGGGTGGGGCAGCCTACCAGCACCCGAGTGGTGGGATAGTTGTTCCCCGGCTCTCTTCCTCCGGCGGTCCACTGGGGTCGGCGTCCCATTCTTTAAGGCCAGTCTTCTCGGCTTCGGCGATCTTCTGGCGCGCGGCCCGTAGCACCCCGGCCCGGCTGTGTCCACATCCGGCTCCGCCAAGCCTATGCTGCTCACGTCATTGGTGTGCATGGCCTGTATGGCCTCTTCCAACTCTGTGATTCTATGACACAAATTCCCTTGATCCCACGTGCCTGGGGCTCCTTTAAACTGGATCATCTCATCAACACACAATTTTAGTACCAAACTAAAGAAGTTATTTTTCACAGGTTGGCTCTTGTTTCTGCAGCCCAGCGTTCAGACGATCAACCATGCATCATTTTTTTAATTTTTTTTTTAAAATTATTCTTTATTGTAAAACAAATCATTACAGAGGACACCTGGACTCTTAACAACAACATACCCAGTATCAATATAAGATAAATGGATACTGGATAGGCTTGCATTCATAATTAGCTTAGCGGCCTATAGTCTGTCCCTATTACCCATAGTTTACACCATCAGCCAAACAATAGCCCTTCATATTTTGGTTTCCTTATTTGTTCCCAGTCTCTAATTTTCTCTAATACAGGGTACCATTTGTCCATGGGGTTAAGCAGCTGATGTTCAGCAATCTTTATTACTTGTCCAACCACCTTTCTTTGATGGACAACAGCTACGGTGAAAACAGCACATGCAACCCTAGCTTCACATGGAACTGCTGCGCAACGGTGCAGTTCTAAGTAGAGACGCATCTTTCTGACCACTTTGACATCAGTGGAATAAACCAAGGGTTCCCAACATGGTGCTGACAGACACCTGCCGACATGTTTTACAAAGTGGGCAGGGCCCGTTGGGGCTTTTGCCCACCAAGGCTTCTGACTGGCCGTTGAAGATTTGATTGGATGTGCTGGGGTTTTTTTAATGTTGCTTTCGCAGCGGTTGCCTCCACAGCACAAGGATCTTCGCGGTGTGACTTGCAGCAGCCATCTTGTGGCTGGATCCACCTCCTGCAGCAGTGATTTTGTGGCTGCACCCACCGCACTGTGGCAGAATTCCAAAGGCGCCTGCCAGCGAGCACTGCCAGGTCCGTTGGACCTGTGGGTGGGGGTGGAGGGAGCATTAGAAAGTGACGTACTCAGAAATAGATGCCACGTGCCTACGGAAGTGACAGTGGCATGTCAATGATGTCAGGGGCGACACTCTGGTTTTGGGGCAAAGCTTGATGGTAAAATTGGCTTCAAAACAGTAGAGCTTTGCCCCAAAACCAGAGCATCATCTCCCCGATGTCACCAGCATGCCATGCCATAGGGACGGCGTGTTTACTTCCTGCTTCTTCCCTCCCTGCTTCCGGTAAGTTGTATTTATTTCCAGCTTGGGTGGGGGGTCTGGTGTCCCCTTCCCCCTCGCTTTCTGATAGCCCTGAAGTGGGAGGAGGGGCTCCAAACCCTAATGGGGACCTCTGGGTTAGACAAACCTGTCCCTCTGATCCTTCACCTTCATGGGTAAAGAGCTGAAATCCAAAGGTGGCTGTAGGCAGATGTACAGAGTGGTCCAGGAGTCTGAAGTTAACTTAATCAAGTTAACTCAATACAGTAAAGCACTGCAGTATAAATGATGATTCGAACAGAAAGACATTAATTTTCTTGATAGAGTACCTACAAACAAGCCATCCGTTCTTGCAGAGCATCTATAACCCGGTGCATGAAATGAGTGATCCTTTGCATACATCTTTTACAAGAGATCATCCATAACTGTGCCATCAACATGACTGAACAGCCTTCACAGTTTAATAATCAAGTCCAGTTTAAAAAACAGCATTTAAAGCCCGATTTATGAATGAGCTGGTTAATCTATAGTTTATCTGATGAAGGTCCGCAGGCCAGATTTCCGTAGCAAAAGTGTTTCCATTGCGCTTAGGAATGTCCACAGGTGGCCCATTCGGGTCATCTTCCGCTGTGTGCTGCTGGGATGATTAAAGGCAGTTTCTACAGTGCTGAGAAGAGGCCCTGACTTCCAAGGCTAGCCAAATGGCAACGTTCCAGAACTTCATGTGATTGGGACCCTAAACATACAGGGTTCCTGTCTGACCAAGCTTTCATGTCCCCAGAAGGACAGGGGGCCACGCTTTCCTCTCGGTCCCCTGACAGCCAGTCGGGGGTAAGCATGTACTCCTCGAAACCAGTGGCTCCTGTTGCCTCCATGTAGCCTCACTTCCTACGGCCCAGTTCTACTACTGGGCATCCTAGGCTGCCAGGGAAGATCACTGAGTGACCCTTTGGGCCCCTCACTCTTTCTAAGACTCAGGGCTATTTTTGGGCAGGAACGTACAGGAACGGAGTTCCGGCTGGCTCCCAAGTTGGCCACGCCCAGCAGGAACTCATTAGCATAATAGGCCACACCCAACAGCAGAAACGCATTAGGATTGGCTACAGTAGGGGTGTGTGGCCTAACATGCAAAGGAGTCCCTGCTACAAAAAAAACCCTGGGTTTTGACAACAAACAAGGTAAACAGAATAAGAAGGGAAAGGTGGGTGTGGCTGGATGACCACACTTTTCTGGTAACATGGGGGTGTGGCCTAATGTGCTAATAAGTGCTGATGTCAGGGGTGTGGCTCAATATGCTAATGAGTTCCTGCTGTTGGGTGTGGCCTATTATGCTAATGAGCTCCTGCTGGGCTTTTTCTACAAAAAGAGCCTTGCTAAGACTAATCTACCTACCTGAAAGGTAGATTGTAGTCATGAAAAAACAATGGAGGAGAGGAGAACAATGCTTTTTTTGGGGGGGGAAGCAAAGTAGAAATACTAAAAAAAAAAATTAAGAAATCGTTTAGTTTTACGCCAGCCAGGTGGTGTTTTATAACAAACTTGCAATGCAGAAGGGAAAAATGAATATCTTGCGGGTCACAACAATCAGCGTTCATCCATCCCCCCCCCCCCCCCCGCGGTGCTCTGTTTGATGCATTTTCAAGGCAGATCTAGAGACACGAGACACGGTCCTGCCGTCCAAACCAGCATCCCTGCGTGGAGTTTTGCCCCTTCCGTTTTCAGCAGCAGCTCTCATAACTTCGCAGTTCTGTTCTCAGGCGAGTCGGCTGAAGCATAGTCTTGGTCTTCAAATCTTTGTTTTGGACTCTTTCCATGTTCCTTTTATGCCTTAAGTGGGGTCAGCCGTCAAACTGACTCAACTAATTAATTATAATGAGAAGGCCTCTCCTAGTTTGTTAAGTTCAGTGGAAGTTGGTGTCATTTATGTCCATGTTCTTGAATCAAAGAGTAGCAAGGAACCAGCGATTCATCTCGGAGACAAAACTGATGATATGTGAAATGAGTTCCCTGGCGAGTCTCCACTTTGTTGTAGCTGATGAAGCTTTTCCCCAACATCTGCTCTCTCAAGATCTTGCCGTAGCGGCCAAATGGTGTGGCCAATAATGGTGACAGCGCCGGTTTACTCTAACGATCGGGAGACCAAATCTTGTTCCTCGCATTCCTTCGGGAGTTGGTATAATAACCATGACATTGTCTGCAATTGCAGTATTGGCATTTAAGAAATCGATGCACCAGTCAATTCCGCTGAGTAAATTGTTACAAGTTTGATTCCAAACTGCTTAAATTGATATGCATTCTAGACCACTGGAGACAACTCTCCCATGCATTGCTTAATAACTCAGGGCGACAGATGTCAACTAGAATATTTTAAATATATTTCAAACAGATACGACACTAATGACCTTAATGCTCCGCTGCAAAAAGTTTGCATGTTTTTTTAAAAAAAAAACGACATTGGGAAGTGCCCTCCTCATCTGATTGTGACTTAACATTAATTTACTGTATTTGCATGAAAAATGTGGATGGGGGGAAAGGTGGACAACGTAAACACCCCTTGGGAGCGATCATACATGCTCAGCGGCCTAGAGGCAGCTTCCCTGTTGTTAAGATCTGCTCTGAACAAAGCGATATCTTTGGCTGGGGCAAAAGGGGGGGGGTATTCACAACTTAAGTAACACTGGTAGAAACACCTTCAGCTTCCACCTCTCACCCCCAGGCAAATTTAGTCTGCCCCCAGGTTAAATTATATTAATTTAATTCAGGGACCCCCCCCCCCAACCTTTTTGAGCCCATGAGCACCTCTGGAATTTCGACATGGTGCGGTGGGTGCAGCCCCAAAATGGCTGCTGCAGGAGGCGGGGCCAGGCACAAAATGGCTCCCATTGTGTTATTGTGGGGGTGTCATGTACATGGTCAGACCAGGGGTTCGTCCGGCCCGAATCTGGGCAGAGCATGTGTTGCCCTGCAAGGCACTTAATGTGCTCTTATGGACTTTATAACCCATAAGTGATAAAATGGACTGTGCAAACATCTGCTTAAGGGACTGTATTGCTTGGTGACCCAATGTGATGCCAGTTGAGAATGCACACCTAAGAGAAGAAAGTCTTCCTTTGCGTTGCTGTTCCAGTTGGTTCTTCAAGGTTATCTGCCCTCTTGCCTGCGTTGAGATGAAGCAGTTCCATAAGCCTGCACAAAGCCTCAGACGCCATGCTATGGCACAAGGACAAAGAGCTCCAGACGCCATTAGGAGTTTCTTCCAGCACATGTAGGCATCCCCTTCCCCCCTCCTCCTCCAGACCTGCAAGACTGTAGGTAACTGAGAGGTTCTACACAGGGTTGCTTGGAAACTAATCTCTCGCCCATCAACAGGCTCGGCTAAGCCCATCAAGAAACAATAGCCCTAGCTCGGTGACTCATACCCCCTTCATCCAGGTGCCCCTCTCCACTCCAAGTTACTAGCTCTCAATATTGACCACTCCTTACAAATCATACACTTGCAGTGCAATCTAAAAGAGAATTGTACTCTTCTTTTTTAAAGATAATTTTTTTTTAAAATCACAATACAATTTTGGATCACATTTCCTTTTCATGGAAACATCTCCTGTTTCAAGAGCTGTACCCTTCGAAGTCCATTGAAGTCAAAGTGGTTAGAAAGGTGCATCTCTACTTAAGATCGCTCCGTTTTCACTGTAGCTGTTGTCTGTCAAAGAAATGATGCCAACGACACCAGTGGGTGGACTGCAGTAACCCTGACAACTGCATAAAATAAACAGATACACACACACTTGTATGCCACACCGTCACTCTAGCTGGTTTCTTGTAATGGCTAAGCTTTGGGCAGGGTGATTTGGGCATTTGCTGGCCTTTGCCCTTTTGCCCTCACTCCCATGCCCCTTGGGCAGGGGACATGGTCAAAGAGATCAGGGGGTGCGTTTCAACAGAAGCAGTGGGCCACCATATAACACATCATCTTCAAAGTCAAAGGAATTCCACTGAACTCATAACCATTTTATTAAGGCTGATGCAGACATTTCTGTTGTACGATCAGTCCCTTGGTTGATTTCTGTGTCTAGATATCCTTTGAAAGATCATTCACGTCTGCGTGATGAACGCAATTTGCTCCGCTAAACTTGGACTCCAGAGTATGTGGTTTATGCAGACCCACACTGTACACAACACATGTGCTGTTTTTTTTCTCCTGGGCATTCCGATGACGTGGGTCAACATGGAATTTATTCCGGGTTTCAATGTCATCTGCCTAGGGGGAAAAAAATCTTTGATTGCCTCTGCATTCCCCTCCTCTCGAAATTCATTTTGCTTTTCCAGACCCGAAGCGAAGCAGCCATGACGGTGTTGAGCGGACACGTGGTCGTGTGCATATTTGGGGACGTGACCTCAGCCCTGATCGGATTGCGAAACTTTGTGATGCCGCTGCGAGCCAGCAACTTCCACTACCATGAGCTCAAGCACATCGTGTTTGTGGGCTCTCTCGAATACCTGAGGAGAGAATGGGAGACGCTGCATAATTTCCCCAAGATCTCCATCTTGCCCGTAAGTCCAAAAAGCCACATTTTCTATGCCTTTCTTCTCCTTTTCCTTTCGTAAAGACTCCAACTGGACGGAACAGCTAGATTTGCGTCCAGGAGCATCTTCGAGAGCGGCTAGGAGCGCGGACTCTAATCTGGGAGAACCAGGTCTGATTCCCCACTCCTCTTCCACATGCAGCCGCTGGCGTGACCTTGGGCTGGTCATAAGTTCTGTCAGAGCTGTTCTCTCAAGGGCAGTTCTCGAAAGAGCTCTCTCAGCCCCACCGACCTCACAGGGGCTGAGAGGGGAGGGGAGGGGAAAGGAGATTGTAAAGTGCTCTGAGACTCCTTGGGGTGGTGAAGGGCAGGGTATAGATCCAGTCTCTTCTTCGTCTTCTTCTTGAAAGCTCGTACTCTGAAAATCTTATGGCTCTCGAAGGTGTTCCTGAATTCGAATCTAACTGTTCTGCTGATGACCAAACATGAAGCTAACCAAGAGGGAAGGCTGATTAGATTACAGCAGTGGGAACTTTGGGCGAAATGGGCTTCCTCGTGCTGGACTTTTTATGGAAAGGTCTAGGAGGCTGTAGTAAAAAAATACCTCTGGTTGGTTTCAGAGGGTACTTAATTAATATCCATGAAATGCCATTTGGCATATGATTGCATCTTGGGAGGCCTCATTTATACTTTCATTCTGCGCCTAGTAATTCCACTCCGGAAATAAGTCAATATGTTTTTTAAGTATAATTTAAAAAGGTAAAGGCCAATCGAATCCGACTCTAGGGTTGCGGTGCTCATCTCCGTTTCCAAGCCGAAGAGCCAGCGCTATCCGAAGACGTTTCCGTGGTCATGTGGCCGGCATGACTAAACGCCAAGGCGCATGGAACGCTGTTACCTTCCCACCGAAGTGGTCCCTATTTATCTACTTGCAATTTCTTGCTTTCAAACTGCAAGGTTGGCAGGAGCTGGAACTAGAGATGGGAGCTCATATATATATGTATATATGTATGTGTGTATATATATGTATGTATGTATGTATGTATAATGTAGGCATTATTTATCCATTTTATTATATGTATTTAATTTCACATGGGTTTTTTAATTTTTTTACAGCAATTCCTTTCTGGTCCATTTTGTATCTATGCTGCATGATTGTATTTTATTATGTATTGTGCTATAAGCCAATTTGTTCCTCATTGTGTCTGACCTCTGAAGAAGGCCCTAAAATGCCACAACGTGTCAGGTCAAGTCCATTGGCCCTTGTGTATATATATGATTTTGGAATTTTTACATGAGGTTTGATTGGGCCCCTATATGTTTTTTTAATCTTTTACAACAACAAAAAGCACATGTATTTTTGCATGACTAAAGTTTTTATTGTTGGCCCTCTACTCAGTTTGACTTACCTTTTCAGATGCAGGTTTCAGAGGGTAGCCATCTTGATCTCCAGCAGGACAGCGGGATTCGAGTGCAGTAGGACTTTAGGGGCCAGCAAGATGTTTGGGGTGTAACTTTTGTAAGATCTCTGACGAAGGGAGCTTCGACTCTTGCAAGCTCCTGCCCCGAAGATCTTGTCGGGTCTCTGTGGTGTTCCAGGGCTCGAATCTCGGTCTTCCGCCGCAGACCGACACGGCTACCCTCCGGAGCGATCAACCGGATGGAGTCACGCCAGCTTTGATCTTGGACGTTCGTTCCTCCTTTTAACTTTTGTCTGGTTATAGGCCTGAGGACTTGGCCTTTTCCCTGTCTGCTGCATCTGTGAAAGCGCAGCCCAGGGAGACCTTATTAGGAGGAATTTGCCGAGGCGCCCGCTCCCTCATCAGGGAGGGATTTCAGCGGCTATCAAATATATTAGCCCGTTATCTATCGAAGGCCAGCTCGAGTTGCCCTGCATGCTGCCAATTTCGATGTTATGATTTTTCCTGACAAGAATGACAGACTTTACTTATGGCATTATTTATGGCTCTGAACCCTTTGAAAACATTTTGTATTATTTGTCTATCTACCTAATCTATCTGTATCCGTAAAGACCTTCAAAATGTCGGCCTGCTGCCTTTGCTTTATTTAACAGCCTGGCAGTGGCATTTCATCTTTTTTTCAGGGGATTCGGGCGGTCGTACGATAAGCGTTTCTTTTAATGCAGCTAGTCCAGGATTGGAAGAGCCCCAATCCTTCAGCACGCGCCCTTTCCATTTATGCCCGACTGCCGACTGCCGTTCAGATTTCTATTGCGTTGTTGTTCACATTCAGTCAGCAAGGCGTAAAGCAGCAAAGAGAATTGCAATGATTTCTACATGAGATGCTTTGCGTTTTTTTTGTTTTTGGGGGTTTTTTTTGCCTTTTCCTTCCAAAAAATCAACAGCTCTTTAAAAAATCAGTCTGGAATGTGGAAGACAAGCCTCTCCCAGCTTGCTTCACAATATCTCCTCAGGCTGCCACTTTCTCACAAGTCACCTTTTGTCTCAAATTTTTAAAACAATGGTAGAAGAGCTGCCTATGCACCTGCTTTTGACACCCAGTTCAATCAAGGTGCCGGCTGTGCATAATGTGCTCACTTACAATCGGCTCTATGTGGCCTGGCCAGAATCCCTTTTCAAGGTTTATTATTTTGTGCACTTATCCCAGCATATGCAGACTTTGTGTGCCACCTCCTTGTGCCCCAGAGGGAAGCCATGCTGGTGTGCAGGCACTAGGCACGTAGGAGGAGACAGGTCCAAACCCTTTTTGGTGTAACACCAAACCACAGGTGAGAGTGCTTTATGCGCAACTACCGTGTCACTTAAGAAGAAGAAGAGATTGGATTTATACCCCGCCCTTCACTACCCAAAGGAGTCTCAGAGCGGCTTACAAATTCCTTTCCCTTCCCCTCCCCACAACAGACACCCTGGGAGGTAGGCGGGGCTGAGAGAGCTCTTGACAGAAACGGCTCTTTTTCAGGGACAGCTCTTGTCAGAACTGTGGCTTGCTCAAGGTCATCCAACCAGGTGCAAGTGGAGGAGTGGGGAATCAAACCCGGTTCTCCAAGATCAGAGTCCGCGCACTTAACCACAACACCAAACTGGCTCCGAGTAACCTACAGAGCCATCATAAGTCGGGTTATACTCTTCTAAGTCAGTGGACTTAAAAGGGTTTAACTCTGCTTAGGATCACGCTACTAGAACTCCAACATCTTCTCTTGGGGCTGATTTATGTTTTATGCTTGCGGTGTATATATCCATGTTTGCAGTGCTAAACATATGCAACATGAAGGGGAACCTGCTTCTCTGCACATTCAAGGGCACATGCCAGGGAGCTGTCACTAGTAGCATCTCTCCCAGCTCCTGGCTTACATCCCCACCACTCTGCAAACGTGGCTTTCCACTTCACACTGCACCACGTTTACCCTGCCACGTGGAAGCGCCTAAAGGCACTGCACTGTTTAGACCAGGGGTCCACAACAGGGGGCCATTGGTGCCTGCCGACACCTTTCCTGGTGCCCACAAAGTGTTTCTAGAACGTAGGTGGGGCCAAGTGGCTGTTGCCCAGCAAGGGTGCTGATTGGCCGCTGGAGATTTGATTGGCGGTGCAGATTTTTTTTAAAAAAAGACATTTGCTTTGGTAGCAGCTGCCACCGCAGCACAAGGATCTTCGCCGTGTGACTGAAGGTACGCTGTGGCAGCCATTTTGTGACCTGCCGCACCTCCCACAGCGGCCATTTTGCGAATGCACCCACCCACGCTGCGTCAGATTTCCAAAGGTGTTCAAAGCCTGCAAACACCTTTGGAAAATCTGACGCCGCGTGGGTCTGTGCACCCCTGGTGTGGACGCTCCAGATTGCTTGCATATTACTCTCCAAGCCCTACCTCATGATTGAGATCTCGTGAGCATGCAGTGCTCAAGTGCCAGGAGTATGGAAGCACAGAGCTCTTCAGAAATTGCCCCCTTAACGTAGGGAAGGGCAGTTTAGTGTTCTGTACACAAGGGCTGTAACACTTGAGTCACCCGTTACTTCCATTGAAACATATTTTAGGATTGAAGGGCCAGTTGCAAAACAAAAGAAAGAAACCAAACGAGCATCACATCATTTTACTGTAAATACTGCATTCTCTAATCTGCAGAGGAACAGTGCAGTGATAGTCCATATTAACAGGCGGCGGGGATGACTAGGAAACGATTAACCTTTCCTGCTGATCATCTCAGGTAGTCTGTGTTTGGGATGTTTAGAAAAACCTGTTTCCCTCGCTGGCATTGAAGCATCCCTGGTTTAAATTGTGACTCTTTTGGCCGGAACTTTACTTGACTCGATATATCAGTCGGCGGACGTTCAGGACACGCTCCTTTGTGAATGCTTCGAGCAGCCGAGCTTGCCGAACAAGGGCGACGGAAATCGAGATGATTCTGAGTTTGCAGGCAAGATGCCGCACGCTGGCATCACCGCCGTCCCTGTTCCTTGTTTGTTAGTAGCAGGTTGACCGAGTATTCAGTCTTCACGCTAAAACGCCGCCATCAGCACCAACTACCCTTTAGATTAGCACATTCCTTCTATTCCCTGGCACATAGTTAGACCAGCTTAATGTCAGAGCATAAAAAGGATACTTGTTAAATAATTTCCCAAAGCTCCTTCTCAGTATTTAATTTGTTTCTCCCCCCCCTTTCTCTCTCCCTCTCCCTCCCTCTCTCTCTCTCTGTCTCTCTTTCTGCCAAAGGGTACACCATTAAGTCGAGCTGATTTAAGGGCTGTCAACATCAACCTCTGCGACATGTGCGTAATCCTGTCAGCCAATCAGAATAATATTGATGATTCCTCACTGCAGGACAAGGAATGCATCTTGGCGTCACTCAACATCAAGTCTATGCAGTTTGATGACAGCATCGGGGTCTTGCAGGCTAATTCCCAAGGTAAGAACTGCCCTATAATACTTCTCAGTGGTCCCTGCGGGGGACAGGACCTGGCAAGAAGAATATCCCTCACTCTGTAATTCAAAGGGACCTTACATCAGTTCGCTTGACAGTTAAACCTGCTGATTGGTGTATGGGGGGGCGGTTTAAAGGGACGGTCGCAACACCTCTCTGCAGCACACGCGCACACAAGCCGGTTTTGGCGATCTGAGCAGGGGAGCAAGGAGGGACGGAGCAGAGAATATTTTATTTTTGCTCTCAGATAGGCGAGGGCTAAATCCACCACGTTCCACAGCTCGCTGGTGCATTGCAGTTAAAGTCACAATGGTACACGTCACCCCGCCGGAGGTGAGTCGTCCTCCAGCCAGATGCAAAACGGGATAATTGCAAATGCTGTCTGACAAGGGTGTTTGCAGCCAAATGCCACGCGGCACGGTAACAACGCTTATGATAAGAACACTTTTCAACAAAGAGAAGAGAAGGAAGGAGGAATGGGAAGAGTTTGTAAGGGGGGGGCAGTTGTGTAAAAACCTGCACGGAAGGTCTCGTACCGTTTCTTGAAAATTCTCAGCGACTTCTCGATCAGAAAGAATAAAGGGATTCACAGAGTGCTCCGTTGTGACCTCACATTATTTTTTTTCTTTCTCATCAATGCTATACCAAGGACATAGGGAGGGTTAAACACACACAACAAAACAAAGCAGTTTTAAAAAAACCTTCCAAAATGGTAACCCACAAACGAGACCGTGTGCTTCCAGTCTGTTTGCCACTGAATCCCAGCGTTGCAACGTGGACACAAAATTCCATAGCTGGGATTGTTTATAGCCAGTATGGCGATGGTGAATTTGATTCCAAGTAGTATTTCTATATATTTCTTTTTATCCCGCTGCATTACAAAGGTCCCTGCCACACGGGGGGGAAAGAGACGGGCTGAAGTGCGGCTTTTGAAAGCCGCACCAAAAGAAACACGCCGCGGCGGGATCACATTGATCCACTGAGCTGCGGCGCATTATCAGATGCCGGGGGAAGGGACGGAGGGGAACGGGAGACTGCCGAACTGCGCATGTCTGAGCATGCGCAGTTCAGGCAGGAGCCGGGGACGTGCCGACCGAAAGACGGGCCGGCGATCCCACGGCCGGCCTTGATGCAGGCGGCCTGAAAGAACCACCTAGGTAGGTGGTTCATTTTTGTTGTGTCTCTTCGGGGGAAGGGCCGGATCGGGGACGGGTGCGAAATGCTGGCCAGATATTGCTGTGGGATCGCGCCCGTTTGCTGCAGCGCCGATCCAGCCCACTCCCGGCCCAAAACCCCTCGTGAGAACAGGACCAAAGAGTTACAAAAGCAACCCAAAGCACGCACACTCTTCCAACTAAACAAAATAAAACCCACATCTTTTGCTGATGCCCCCAAGCTCCTCTCAGGCAACAAGATTTAAGACTTGGGCTGAGTTGAAATCGAGAGGGAGGGGAAACGACGCCGCTCCCCCTGACACCACTGAATCCCGCCCCTGTCTCTGGTTCTGGGAGAGATTGCAGTTAAGGTTATTTGCAGTTTCCCACCCCAAAGGTTTTTTTGCAGTTTCCCACCCCAAATTGGTCCTCCCCCCCCCAAAAAAAGGTCACATTTTTGTACGTGACTTCTGGTTCCTCCATGTCTGCAGAGCCCTACATCACCATTGTCGCCGAACCCATTGGGAAGCTTGGGTCTAGACACTTGGCCTACCAATTCTAAGCCATTCAGCCTAGTGGTCTTGACGTTAAGGGCAGCTGTTCAAGCCGATGGTCCCATTAGCATGCTGAAGTAGCTCAGGGTTGAGCGGCACGTACACCTGCATTGGTTCATTCCTTCTTCCAGGCTGCGCTGCATAATTGTGGGCTTCAGAAACTTGGACTTTTATTATATTTATTTATTTTAAACATTTATTAGCCACCTTTCTTCCCCCCTTCTGGAGGTCAAGGCAACTTTCAACATAGATAAAAGACATAAAAACCAACATTTAAAATCACGACTCAGCAACTTAAGCAAAGGCAGTCAAATGCATAAAACCGTCTTCAGCTACCTCCTCAAAAGGGAAAGTGTAGGGACCAGTGAACCTCACTGGGGAGGTGGCTCTGTAATCGTGGGGCTGCCCCTGAAAAGGCCCTCTCGCATGTACCCACCAAACGAGCACCTTTGATTGATGGAACAGTCAGGAGGGCGTCTCCCTGTGATCCGAATTCTTGGGCAGGAACATATGAGACAAAGAGTTCCTTCAGCTACTCCGGTTTTCAAACCATGTAGGGCTTTTGTTTATTTTCATAAGAAATGAAAGTTGTGATCACCGGGGCTCTTTTTGTAGCAGGAACTCATTTGCATATTAGGCAACACACCCCTAATGTAGCCAATCCTCCAAGAGCTTACAGTAGCCCCTGTAAGAAGAGCTCCGTAAGCTCTTGGAGGATTGGCTACATTAGGGGTGTGTGGCCTAATATGCAAAGGAGTTCCTGCTACAAAAAGAGCCCTGCCGGGCGGCAGTAAAAAATGAAAGCTGCCGAATTCAGTGCACAAAAATACAATAGGAACTGAGATCTGACTTTAAATAAGCTCAGATTTTCACAAGTTGACCATTCCAGAGTTTCCATGAGCAGGGATTGGCTCATCCCAGCATGCCCTGCTAAAGGAAGTTATTGCTGTGTCCCGTATCCCATTTTCAGCGACTCATAGAACTAGACCATTTCATAAAAATCAGAGTTAATTAACGACATGTGACTAACATTTGCAAAGACTGGAGGTGGTCGATTATCATCACCTTAAGAGCACTGGTCTTGAGCTGTTGGGTTGCAAACAACATCCAAGGAGGGTTACACCTATGGCACCTGAACCATTCCCCTTCAGTTAGTGCTTAAATGTTGTTAACGGAAGGTGGAATATGAGAGAAAAATAGAAGGATGCAGGAAGAAGAGAGCAAGGCCACTGAAAGGGGTGGACCGAGGGGACACAAGGTCCCTGGAGCTCACGGGTTTGTTTTCAGGAAGTATCAGTTTGGATCTGGGTAGAACGAGGGGGTTTTGTGGATCTGTGTCCATGGACCTATGATGGTCCTCCAGATCACTGGTGGGAAGATGGACAGACCCGCAATTACAAGCCGGTCCCAGGTCGAAGGTTGGGTCCTGGGGTTGAAAAGTCAGAAGTCTAGCAATGTGGAATGCTCGGCGCACAATGCTTCGTCTTCATAACGAAGCATTTCTAGGCTGCCATTTCCCTGTCCCCTGTGACCAGTTCGAGCAGCCAGTGCGATTGCAAATATGGCTTCTTATCACTTGGCCACCGATCGATGGGTCGAATGAGGCCCACACGTTCAGTCTCCGAACAACCGGCTGCTGCTAAAGCCACTCGGAAGACACCAAAACTGGTATCCCAAAAATGGCATTTCAACACAGGCTTGAGTAACCAGGGGGTTACTCAGAAACATGAGCTCTCGATGGGGAGGGGGACACGTGGGAGGGCGAAGCGGCACATTGCAGAGGGCCGGCTCTTTAAGAACGACTCAGAAGAAAGCACTTACTCGGGCACCCCTTCCAATCTTGTTATTGCGCTTTCCCGGCACAACAGGAGATTTTCTTGAAGGATGTTAAATACCACGATTCACGTTGTCAGAAGCAATTAGATCGGAAGGAGTGGCATCAGCTTTGGTGGAAATGGTATTTGGAGTGACAGTTGTGTCTGTGAGAGGTGGTCTGAGCGTCGCGGTCCAGTGGGGGAAGGTCTCACGTACAAGCCCCCCCCCTGAAATGAATGGGAGCGGCACAAAGGAGGCTGCCGTGCTCTGGAACAAGCCCTCTCGCGCCGCCCTCCCCCCCAACAGAACTTCCCCAGTGGACTGTGTTCAGCACAGAGAAGGCACAGCCCTGTCGGGCTTCCTGCAAAGCAGCGGATCCGGCGTCTGCCGGCCAGCAAGGAGCACTGCCACTTTGCAGTGCCTTACTGAGTGCTTTTATTTGCAAAGGAGACCGTAGCTCTCCTTTCGCTGGAAGTACGTGCATTATTTATCCCGGGAGAACGTGCCGATCCACATCATTAGGTACAGACGCCAGCCATCACGGACACAGCTCTCTGCCGGGCAATGCGCATTTGTACCAGCCGCTTTGGCAAGGAGGTTTTCTGCATCCCCCCCCCCAATCCCCTAGCACTGACCACAGAAGGTGGTTACTGTTTTCCTTGCTCTGTGCCTTTCACAGTCGCCCCACGCCCAGAAGTATTCACAGACATGGAGACGTGTGGTGCAGCGAATACCACCAACTCCTGATCCACAGTTTAAGGCACAAGCAGAGCCAGAGATAAAGGCGGCCAGTGATTTTGAGCCCTGACCTGGATAGCCCTGACCTAGCCCAGTCTCGTCTGTGTCAGCCCGGGATAGTGCTCCACAGAGGCGTGCTATGGCAAACCGCCTCTGAACATCTCTTGCCTTGAAAACCCTACAGGGTCGCCATAGGTCAACTGCTGTTTGATGGCAAAAAGGAGGGGGGTGTTGGAGGGCCTTGTTTCTTGGCTAGCAGATGTCAGAGGTCACAGTCCAAACTTTCTTTTACTGAAAATGTCCAGGTGTTGATGGGCAGGAGGAGGGGGAGATGGTGGTCCTTTCCACACTCGGATCTCATCCCTGGTTTTACCAGAGTTCAACTCGCGACACAATACCTTGCGTTTATCCCTGGTAATGACAGCATCTGTTTATCCTGGGACAAGTGTGGGGCGAAACCACGGTGACCTCCAATGTTCCCTCTAAGTTGTAGAGTCTTGGGAGCAAAAATCCTACTTTGTGAGCCGCTGGCATTAAAGTTGTGAGCGAGCGATTTGGCTACTGCATACATTAGTTTGCTCTGGAGCCCCATCCTTCCTGAGCTAAGGCAAAAATGTGTGAGCTGAAAACTGTGAGCTGGCTCATACAAACTCAGCTTAGAGGGAACACTGGTGACCTCAGTGTAATGTGGAAACAAAAAATACCCCAAGATAACTACAGGGGTGAACTCGAGTGTCGTGTAGAATATAAGTTCGGGAACAGGGTTGAACCAGGATCTAAGGTCTAGTAGTAGGACCAGGGATTAATTTCTGAAAATAGTCCCCCCCACCCTCACCCTCTCATCACAAAAAGCTACCTTTTCATCATTTCGCTTCCCCATCTCTAGAGCTATACCACCACTCCCCTTAATTTCCACCTCCCCTCTCCCAGGACTGAGAATTCCCCCGCCCACATACAGAAACAGAACTGCCAATTCCCTGCCTTCTAAGTGCAAAACGAAATACTCTTAGAGTACAGGTCCCCAACCTTTTTGAGGCTGCAGGCACCTTTGGGATTATAAGACGGGCACGTGAATGCCACCCCAAAATGGCTTTCAATAATGTTCACTACACTATTGTGTAATAAAATGGTAATAGAAGGTTAAAACCAGGGGTCATTTTGTAGAAAAAGAGGTGCAGGAGCTCATTACCATAACTTATTTGCATATTCCACACCCCCTGACATCACCGGAAGTGTGTCAGAAGGCAACACCCACCGCTCAGGCTCCACTAGACTGTTTTGGATTGCTAGCTATTGGGGGGGGGGATGTGCAGATCTGTCCTCGCAGAGGAGGGAGAGCTTATACATAAATAAAACCTGGTCTTAAAGGTGCCACTGGACTGTTTTGGGGCGCGGGGGGCTCTGCAGCTTACCTGGCTGCTTCTTGCTCTGACTGAGGGCTGCTGGGAGCAGGGGGTGGGGCTTGTTGTTTGTGCCCGCCCCCTGGGCTCTTTACTGCCGGAGCTCCGCTCCTGTGCGCTCCCGCAGGAAATGACCCCTGGTTAAAACAAGTGTAGTTAACAGACTCACCAATTACAACTTGCCGAAAAGCTGAAGAACATGTGATAGAGAATAATGTATGCAAGGTAGCTACAGTAAAAAAGTACAAAATGTAAACAAAGTTTTTGCCTTCGATCACCATTTTATCACCTCAAAATGGCTTCCACAGGAGGTGAAGTCAGACTCAAAATGGCTGCCTCAGGAGGTGAAGCCAAATGGAATATCTCCCTCCTGGGAAGAGGGAAATCCTGAAGGGGGGATGGAGCCACACTCTGAACCAAGAAAGCCCAGGGGCTTACTGATCCTCTAGTGGAAAACACTCGTTGGGATGAGAGAAGCCAATAAGAAGCCCTGCCTTACAAGGGCTCCACCCACTTTCTGTTAAGCATGGTGGGCGTCAAGGGAAATACTGGTGGGGTGCCGTGACAGGAAGGCCTGAGAGGAAGACTTCTAAGGCGTCTCCTGAGTGCTAGATGGCAAAACTGTTTAGTCCTTCCTCCTCATCTTTGCCATCCTCCAGCTCCGTGATTCTGTGATTATTTTCGAAATATCTCTCCCAACCAGTGTTCCCTCTAAGCTGAGTTAGTGTGAGCTAACTCACAGTTTTTTTAGCCTCCGGCTCACAGATTTCTGCCTTCGCCCAGGAAGGAGGGCTCCAGAGCAAACTGATTTATGCAGTAGCCAAATCGCTGGCACACAACTTTAATGCCAGTCGCTCACAAAGCAGAATATTTGCTCACAAGACTCCACAGCTTAGAGGGGACATTGCTCCCAACCCGCCGGGATAAGACAAAAGTGATCCAGGCGCCCCTTCGACTTGGCCCCAGCCGTGACGCTGTCTCATGTGACGACACTTTTAAATAGAATCACCTGGCTCGGAGGCCACGTGTTGCCCACAAGTGGGCAGCGCTGGGTG